TTCCTGAGCTGTGTGTGGAGACCACTAAAGACTAACAGTGCTGCAATTCAGTTTTTTCTTTTTTAACATAACTATGCTAAAGCAGTTTCTCCTGGGAGTAAAAACAGGTTTGCACATACTCATGGGTTCACTTTAGCCTTTACCTGATCCACAGCTATTAACTTAGGGGAAACATGAACTCAAGGCTTCCTTCTGTTTGAGATGGTTAAACAAAGAACCTTGAAGGTGTGGAATAAAGTGAATCAAATATGCCAAGATGGGTCCCACAGTTTCAGGAAACACAAACTACAGGCCAGGCGTGCAGGGAAGCAGAGCACCAGCGATGGGTGGGTGAGAACAGGAAACTGTCCCACACCTTTCCTTCACAGTCATCCCCTCTGTGGCCAGTGTGTGATGGGCCAAAGCTTGTGAGCCTCTTGGAGCTGAGGAAAGGCTGTCCTACAGCTCAGCCATCCGCTGGTTGTGCAGGGACAGGTCTACAAGAGGCTGCTCTGCTGCTGTCACCACTCTGGATGAGGTTCAGGGACTCTGGGCTCTCTCCGCTTCCAGCACCGTATTGATTTTAACAGCCCAGAGGGGAGCAGAACAGACTGTGCCTCGTAGATGGAATTGAATTGTTCTAAAGTTTTTAAACAAGTTGGCTGTCTTCCTGGACTCTCAAATTAAAGGGCAATTAAGTCACTTTCAGTCTGGAAAGAGCTGATGGGTGTTTCCTGGTTTGACTCTTTAAAATTTTGCAAGAGTGATTAATGCAATGAAAACTTGTCATCTCTCAAGTCAGGGCTGTCAGCCAACACTCAAAGCATTTATCTAAACCACACGCTCAGACTGTTTTGGCCTGTGGAGAAAAGGCAGCAGGACAAAGTGAGGCTGTAGGAAAGAGTAGCTGGGCATAAAGGACATTGGCACAGCAGCACCTGTTGCAGAGGAGAAAAACTATTGGTGCTATGGGCTCTGTGGAAAGCTGGCATTTCCCCCATGGGGGAGAAGAACCTGGCTAAACATCAGCCCCAGCTCATGGCCACTTGTCACCAGGGGGTGTGTTGGTTATTGCAATCAATATTCATGCAGCAGGTGCACATGTACTCTCCCTGGTGACCCTAGGAGCACCACCCTCCCTTCGTGCTGGGGTCCCACCACATCCTGGTATTGCTGCTGAGAACAGGCAGGAGCTCCAGGCTTCCCTGTTACTAGAAGTGCCCGAGTCTCCCTCCCTTTCAGCTCCACGCTCCTTCCGAACGTTTAACAGCTCGCATCTATTTTCTTTCTTCGGGACTGCTAACCAAAGCTGACTCCTGAATGAATTCTGTCTCTGCTTCAGTTAGTCATCCCTTCAGGACAGATTTAGTAACTGCTCAGGGAAACCACATAGAAGCCAACAGTTCATCGTTGGAAGGCAGCACCCACTCACTGTCAACCTCCTCTTTTTCTGAGCTAGAAAGCTGAAAGCGCAGCAGTCAGGCAGAAGTAGGGGAGCAAGCCTCTAGCCTCACCTGTTGTGTAGGAAGGTGGATAAACGGATACACAACCATGAAGCTGGTGCAGCATGAAATACCAGAGCAGAGAAGGAGTATGGGCAGCAGAGCTCACCATGACCATGCCCATCTGCAGGAGCAGCCCTCGGGGCAACATCGCGGCTCCAGGCTGCCCACGCTCCTCGCCCCAGCTCCCACCAGGGTCCTTCTGAACCCCACGGAGCTGGCAGCACACAGACCAGCCCCTCAGTCTCTCCTGTGCAGAGGAGGTGCAGAATTAGGAACAGTTTAAGACTAGAGGATTGCCTCTTCAAAAAGGTGTGTCTGACATGTTTACTGCTTGTGTTTATTAAAGCTTGGGCTCTCCTCCAGAATTTTGCATAACACTGGACTGACTACAGGCACGTCACGTTAAAACTCGTCCTGATAAGCAATGATATACCAGGGGATTTTAACGTGTAAATATGAGTCATGACACTGATGCTTTCAGGTAAGGACAGTTTATTTGTCTCTTTGAACAAATAAGGCAAGATATTTGAGAAAGATCAAACAAAACCTCCTGTATCAACCTAACAGGAATGAAATAAAAGTTACTATTTCAAACATATACAAACAGATGACCCAACACTATTATATACAAACAGCCAGATCTTAGAAAACAGCATTTCAAGTCAGCACTTTATGCCAGTGTTGCTCATTTCTTTGTTACAAAAAAATTAAAGCTACAAACTTCACATTTTTAAGTCTCACATGACTGACAACATCAGTATCTCTGGGTTTTAAAAAGTAAAGATAATGGTTTGTCCAGAACACTTCCAGCAATGCAGATGGACCCAAGGAGCACAGGAATGCAATTTCACCATTAAACAAGCTTTTTTTTTTTTTGTTAAAAATTTTGTCAACACAGCTTTCCCTTCCAGTACAAACCTTGGTCTTAGCAGAGATGCCTCTGAGAAGTGAGCAGGTATTATGCTCCCTCTATACTCTACAAAGGGACAAAAAATGGAATTATTTTCTCTAACAAATTGAAAAATCAGTGAAGGAGAAGATAATTCCTTTGCATTAGAGCTCCAAGTGCAAGAAACATCATCAAGTCTCTGCCACCACAAGCATTTAAGAAAGGTTCGAAGACAGTTAAGCCATTGGACTGGTTTTGCTTCTTTTGGTTCATTTGCTGTATTTTAAGACAATCACATGAGCAAAGCAGAGTATTCAAGAGTGCTTACATTCAGTTACAGCAGTCACAGGTTGCATATTCTGTAATAAACACCACCGTGTGGCGTTTCACCCACCCCTTGGGTTTTCTAATGCCCTCCAATCACTAGGAAGTTACCTGCGCAGTGCAGAGGTAAAACTACTCCCAGAAGAATCTGCTCAGCCCACACCACAGGCCAGCAGTGCACGACTGACCACATCACACATCCACGTCTACCACACCAGAGGTGCTGGGCCAGACCCACCCAGGGGACTGATACCAGAACCAACACTTGGCCAGAGGAGTCTCTCCCGGGATGTGGGAGATTCTTTGAGGCAAAGGGCACTCAGCTCACCAACACTGCTCATAACAGACACGTTTAGGGCAAAACATATTGCACAGATTTCAGACAAGCACTGTGTGAGCCCTGACGTTCACACAGCACTTCATGAGACCTCATTAGACAGTCTAGACTAAGGGGTTTTAGCCTGTTAACAACAACAAAGCTTTTAATTACTCAGTTTTCTGAATTCAAAACTTTCCCAGTACTCGAGGCTATCAAACAGCTGGTCATCCCAGGATGTACTTTTAGGTCAACACCCTACAGCCACTGTTCAGTGCTTCCTTCCCCTCAGGGACAGCTGGTTTGCTGACCTGCAAACACTGGTGTTCACACTGCATACCAAACTCAGACAAACCCATGCATGGCTTGGTTCCTTTCACAGCAAGGGAGTGTATCTGTTAACAGCAGCCAAGAGCCTGCTCTGAGCAGGAAAAATGAGCCTGGGGAGGCATAAAATGAACACTTCACCTCCCAGCAGCATTTGATTCAGGAGACACTGCTATTTAGTTTCACTGTCTAGGTGACATACCAAGGCTTATTTCAGAAGAATGACATGGAAACTGTTCCTTTTATCAGAGCAAAATAAACAAACAAAAAAACCAGCAGGAACACTTGCTCTGTCCAAACAGGTCATCATACACCAGATACAGAGTACACACCTCTGCTGTTCCAGCCCATGGGACAGAGGCATCGCTCTGTCCTGCAGCCAGGCTCTTTGCTGCTTCTGCTTTACTCTCCACTCTACTGGTGCCAGGTAACTGCACCATCCTCACAGCGACTGTACACACTGGGGCAGTCTTTCCTGACTGAGCTACACCGGGCAGGAATGGCAGGGAAATTTCAAGAAAGAACACAAGAACATCCAGAGACACATGCAGGACATCATTAATTGTCTTCTCATTCAGATCAACGCCGCCTTTGCTCCACCACCATAAACACATCTTTGCTCATTCACCAAATCCTTTACTTTCAGTTCAACTTTTCTGATGTGCTAAACCTTGCAGAAATTTGAAGGATTGTGAAGTTGTTTTTATTCAAGCATCTACGGAGGTAAATCTGAAATGATACCTATAAAACATTTCAGAAACTGTGAGGATTTTTAAGTCCTCTCAGACACAGCAGAAGTACCTAGTTCCTGAGAGAGGTTCACACAACTCCCACCATTTGAACATTGCTTCCTTTTCCCAGCATGGTCTCCCTGAAGGAGCTTCCAAACAGACAGACAAAGGGGAACCAGATCACTGACTGGCTTTTGTTTTTCAGTTGGCGTGGGTTTTAAATTACAGAATGTAATTTCTGATGGAGGCACAACATGCTTTATCTACTCATATTAATTCATGAAGTACATAGAAAGAGGACAAAACTGAGGTCTTGAAGAAACACACTTGCTTAAAGCAAACAGTGTAAGGCATGAGGCTTATTACAGGCTTTTTAAAAAATGAAATTTAAGTTTCTTTCAAAAGGCTGGAACAGTTTATACATGTTCTCACCCGCTCTCTTCAGCGACATAAAACTTATCAGTACCTTAACAGTAGAAAGACAATGGAGTCTGTGTAGGCATAAATTTAAACAAAACCCACAAAAGATGCAGCCATTAAATATCACAATCCCTGTTAACTTAAACCAAACCGGTCTCCTGAGAGTTCATTTGAAAGGAGAGCGAGCCAACTTTCATTTGCCTATTTGTGTGTGTCCTTCTGATTTAAAAACAATTCCCCTAAAACCAGTAACAAAACATCAGAACAATGTTTTAAATATATGTCTAACATTAAAACATACCATCAGGATTTTCCACTTAATG